GAGCTGGAATCAACATTTCTTGATCCATCAATTTTGGGCAAATGCACATCATCTCCTTGTACTGCTCCGAATCCGAAATGAATGAAGAGCACCTGACCTGGCCCCAATCTGAGCCAAATGTGCTCTTAACCTGCTGATACCATGCTAGATATGTATTTTACCCATTTTATTGCATCGCGTAAATGCTGATAACAAAACAGCAGTTGCATAGAAATAGCCTGTTTTACCCACACACATACACAAAGTAAAGTGATCAAATAAAACATTGCAAAATTTGAATAACATATTTACAGTACACAAATGCATTGTGCATGGACACAGTTATCCAAAGAATGAATGACCAGTGAGGGTTGTGGACACAATTAAAATGTAGATCAATTTTTCTCTTCTTAACATTCCACTGACAGTGGATACAGCTATGTTAGTTTTTTATAAAACTTAGAATTATTTTTCATACGCAGCCAAACATGCTTTTGAGTGTATCATTGTACATTATTGATTATAGTTAAATCAGGTTAAGCATCTTGGTGAGATGCTACTTCTGTAAGCTGTTAGTGGTACGTGTGTCTGTGCTTTGAGCAGAGTCTTTGATCTTTTTCCAAGACAATATGAAATAGACAAAAATGAAGAAACCTGTAAGACAAAGATGAAAAAAAGACAGAATTTAGGGTTGACTTTGAATGTGAAGAACATTTAAATACAGTGTCAAGTCTCAGCACCTACTTAGTGAAGACATGCATGTTATTTTTAAAGAATTTCCATCCTTCTGTCTTAGCAACAAAATATTTCTTTAGTCATTCATTTCATCAGCCATATTTACAGTAATATAACCACAGAACAGAGGTGATACCGTTGTAAATGTTGTTCAGACCTTGCAGTGAGTTCAGAATGCTGAAGATGTAGAGGCCAGGAATTGTGAGGTGGCCAAATGAGAAGAAGATCAGGCCCCAGGTAATGCCAAGCAGAGTGATGAGTGTCAGCAAGGTGCAGGCTTTTTTCCGAGCCATGCCAGGTTCATTCTTCCCCGACTAACTCACCAGATATGACCAGAAAACACAAACACACAAACGGTTTATGTTCTCTCAACACTGAACCGTCACTTTGAAATGTGTTGTGTTCCCCCACTGAGACAATGTGGTCTGTTATTGCTCCTCACTAACTTAAATGCTGTATTCTCCATGCTGCTTAATACAGGGATGCTATGTGTTTGGTACAAACCAGGCAAATCTACTTTACTGCACATGATCTCTTATATCTTTCTTGGTGGTTAGTTGTTAGTTGGTGGTCATTGTTAGGTGGGTTGTGTTTTCACAGTTTCTACACTAGATTTACTTCAAAACCACACTTCTTTGCAGTGGCCATGTGATTAGAATGAAGCAACAGACATGAAAAACAAGGCATAATCATGGTGTAAACCTAAAGGAAAGTTTTCACAGTTATATTAACAGTATGTCATATTTTTAAACATATTTGTTTCCTCAAATATTTAACTGGTTATAGAGTATGTGTTCAGCAAAGGCATGAGACTGATGTATAGGGGTGGGAAAGGGAAGGATGTAGTCTTCCAAAGAGGGCATAATCGGTACGATAAGGCTGTAAATAATGGTGAATGGTGATTATTATTTCAAAATAAATCTTGTAAATGATAATAATAATAATAATAATAATAATAATCCCGGTAATGTTTGTCTCTTATGTACCGTATTTTCCGCACTGGATTATAAAGCGCAATGGATTCAATGAATAGCCTATCTTAAAAAAATGTCCTTATATAAGGTACACCACATCTTAAGGCGCATTGAATAGAAGTTACAGTTGTGGCTGGGTCAGATAAGTCAGTCAAACTTCATTAATTGTTAGGATTGGGATATTGTTATTCACTTTAGCATTGTATGCTATCACATAATCCATGTACATTACTTATTATCTTATTCCCTTTAGAACTATTCTGTTGTGTTAAACTCTCTGGGTGTGCTCACAGATTCTCCTTTTGTCTCTGTTAGAGTAGATATAATTCTTCAAGAACAACATCCATACACACACCTCACATTCCAATGATATCTGCATGAACTAGGAGATGGTCTGATCATGTCAGAGGTAACTGGCCAATAACACTTGGTTGCGTCCAGTCTTCCTACTGTACGGGCCAGTCCCAGGCCAGAAGATAAATGTCCATCACATCCGGATTTTGTGGCTCTTGCCGACCTCAGGGAGCGTTGTCTGTGAAATCCGAGCGCTGATTTACTTTGCTTGTGACCAATAAATGTCACAATTGTACTCTTGATCTACTCTGTTTTATTCCCAGGTTTCCAACTAAAGAATCGGGCTAACAATAGAATACAAACCAGTGTTCTGACTCCCAAAGTGAATAATGCAATCACAATATATTAACTCTCGAAATAGTGCAACAATACAACAATAACTCAACGTTAATGTCCATATTTGAAAAACGACAAACCTTGTTCAGCTGAATTAAATTAAATTTTGTGAAAATGTACGCTTCACGCAGTCACATATCCCAGCATGCACTGCTACTTCTTCTACGACAGAAAATGGAGTCGGCTGCTCCATAGTTGTGAGACCTATTGCGGCTAAATCTTGATCTGGGATTATAAAGTCAACTGTTGGATTTTGAGAAAATTGAAGGCTTTTAGATTCGCCTTATAGTGCGGAAAATACGGTACTCAGAAATTTAATTGTTTTAATGTTTTTGGCGCCAGGAAACAAACATGTATTGGCCGCACCGTATTATAGGCCGCAGTGTTCAAAGTGTGGGAAAAAAGTAGGAGCTTATAGTCTGGAATTTGCGGGAGAAAAAAATTAATTAAACAGGAAATATCAAGAGGTCTATTAATAAAAGTACAAAGAAATTATGGGGAAGGAAATGGGTACCTTTTTACGTTGGCAGGCTCCAAAAACAAACCTGATTATCACCATAAACATGCTGACGTTAAAAAGAAACATCAAGCCAAAAATTCCCAATGTTGTCGTCACCTTCACCACGCTGTCGGTTATATAGCATCTACAAAGAAAGTGAACACAGACAACCATCGCACATTAAAAATGTCAAACCAGTTTTGCTGAAAGGATCAGTGCTTGTAAAATACTCATATCCTCACAGGTTCAAACGAGAGATTA